TCCTGCCAGTAAAGATGCACCACTCCTGAAGTTGAATGTAATGAAACAGTGTTAATGAAGGGAGGTATGGGTGTGGTCAAACAAGGGGTGAAGAGGCACCTAGAGACTAGGAAACCTAAATGACCACTGTTATGGACTGAATGTTATATGTCCCCAAATTCACATGTTGAAATCCTAACTCCCAATGAGATGGTACTAGGAGGCAGGGCCTTTGAGAGATGATTAGGTCTTACGGGTAGAGTTCTTATGAATGGGATTAGCACCTTTCTAAGAGAAGACAGGAGAATGTGGTACTCTCTCTGCTCCTCTGCTCTCTGCCACGAAGGGATACAATGAGAAGAGGGTCATCTGAAAACCAGGAAGTGTTCCCTCACTTCCTAGACACTAGATGGGCCAAGACCTTGATCTTCGACTTGCCAGCCTCCAGAACTGTGAAAAAACAATTTCGATTGTTCAGGCCATCCAGTCTGAGGTAATTTTTTATAGCAGCCCAAGCTAAGACAACTACTCCTTGGGCCGAGGAGATAAGTAGTAGCCTTGGTTACTATCAGAGGGGAGTTGACAGAGCACCCTGACTCTTCTCTCTCTCTGGATCCCTCTGATTTTCTAACATCATTCTCTAGCTGAGTCTAACTTGACGCTTGCAGGCTAAACAGCCCCAAGTGTGGCCTACACAGCCTCCTGAGCGAGCATACAAAAGCTATGTTTTAAGAACCTGAACCTGGAGTCAAATCCATGGTTAATGTGCTTATTCACTCCTGGTGGGTGAAATGCGCTCTCCAGGAGGCCTGTGCTGGCCTTCTGTCCCTGCTCCCGCAACCTCCTTCCCTTCATTCGTAAAAGCTTCCATTAAAACAACCACCTAAACAAGTCAGAAGATACACAAACACAACTTGTGCTACTTAATTTCAAAGCTCAAGCTCTTTGAACAGCATTGAAGTCTGTTTCTCATAGAAGGCAAATTAGTTAATGTCAAATGTGCTCTGTGAATATCAACAGACCACCCAAATGTTTTCTTATTTTAGGCAGTCCTCCTAGCAGGTTCAAATAATCCATTTGGTTTAAGAGAAAGAAGGGATGGGCATTTATACATATAAATTGTCAAAATTAAGGGCCATTTCATATTAAAACAATATTAATTATTCATTTAGCAAAGGAATAAAATTCACCTATGATAGAAAACCGCTGGGGTGACATTCTTTTCTACGAACTTGCTTCTAAGCCAAATAATATCCCAAATACCCTTCTTACTCAACCTCTCCTCCTGGAAATGAGAAAAGGCTCTGAAAGTAAAACTCAACACTTCACAGTCACACACTGTCTTAGAGGTTGGCATCTGCAAGTTCTCTTGAACCAGGAGGTCAGATCCAGAAATCCAGAGATGAAGCACTGTGCATGGAAAACTCCCTTGCCTATGCCTCTCTAATAAAGGTCAACCTTTGGAAAAAGTCAGTGCAGCCTGTTCCAGGCCTCGGATTTTGGAGACTGGCAGAGGAGGACCCCCTGAGGAGGTGCCTAACACCTGGCTTAGTTTTCAAGTCCTATGCCTTTCTGCCCCCCAGGGACTTTCTGGAAACAGAACAATCACTGTCCAAACTCAACTCACAGTTGTTCATTCTTCAAGAGAGAAGTCTATTGTTCTGCCAACTGGATGCTTCAGACTTTCAACAGCAGACTGAACCGGTGACCCAGGGACTTAGAGAAGAAGACTACCCAAAGAATACATTTTTATTTGCTAGAAAATAGGTGTCTTGTTCACCTAATTATAACACACTCAGAGATCTGAATCCTTCTACTCTATGGGTCTGAATAAATTTGGACTTGCCACCCACCCTCTCCAAAATATTATGGAATCATAGCAATGGCTTTAAATAATTTTGGTTGTTTTTCTGGTTTTAATTAATTGAAGAGCCTGACAATGTAACCTATTTTAAGAAGTCTTGTTATAAACTTGACATTGCTGAGGACCGAAGATTGTTAAAAATATTCGGAGGAGCAGCTATCCACCTGAAGTCACCAAAGCAGCCTGGCCCAATCTGCAAATATCTTCCCTGTCACTTGCTTGCATGGTCTGAACTTCAGCCTTTAGAGGTTTATTTCTTGATCTTTCAACTACCTTGCTTTCCAAGAGACCCATATTCAAGTGCAAACACCAGTAAGAAAGGACACTCTTGAAGCTGTTGGGATCCCTGACAGTAGAGGGAAAGGTGGAACAGATAGTAGGGAGCTTCCATGGCTTCAAAGAGGGGTGTTAAAGGGTGCTAAAAATACTCCCCTACTTCACAAATTTTCTTAAAGTTTATCACTATAGCACAGATTTTCAAAAGAGCCTTCAGGTTTACAAGATCCCACTTATTAACCCTGTGGCCTTTGACAAACCTTTTCCACTTTCTAAGCCTCAGTCTCACCATCTGTAAAATGAGGCAATAATGCTTTATTTATAAAGTTTTGTGAGGATTACATGAGATAATTTATATAAATTAACTAACATAGAATTAAATAACTATTCTATTCAAAAACAGAATAGAATGATGGCAATCCCATCTGCCCTCCACAAAGAAATAAGGAAGAACATGTAAACGTTTACGGAGTAAGGACAAATAAAGAAGCGGCAGATGGTCGAAACACTGCAGTGGCAGCTGGCTCTGTGTTTTGCTCCTGTACTACTTTTGTCCCTTGCTGGGAATAGAGAGGAATTATAAAGGAGCTGTGGTTGAATTCTGCAGAGCTGATTTGACTCAGAGGAGAGAGACACAGGGAAAGTGATAGATAAAAGTAGCTGCCTGATTCCTCAGATCTGTCCCAGGGAGAATATTTATTTAGGTCCAAGGAAACCATTTGATTTGGCAAATTATGGTTTTAAGATTTCTTATATCTAAATGCTAACATTTCTTCTCTCCAACTAAGTGCTTTGTAGCTTTAATAATGTGGTCCTGTAAATTACTTTTCCTGTGGCTCCCAGCCTGCCTGAAATCTAACTAGCGTGACGTTAGGCTATCTCCTGCTCACTGCTTAACGTCGTGATGGGACAGTAGTCAGGGAAGGCACTGGAAAAGTAATAGAGCAAAAAGCAGTGGATCTGGGATCAGACTGAGGCTTTTAGGTTAATGATAATCCTTGTTTGCTCAGCAAAGGGGCTTGCAATGAAGGAAAATGATGTAGGTAGAGGTAAGTTCTCATGAAGAAGGCTCAAAAGACACCCCACTAATTTTAAGTGATAAAAATCATTTTGAGGGCAAATTTTCTTTGTATATAAGGATGTTTTATTTTTAAATTTTGTCTGTTTACCATCTTAAAAAGAAGACTGTTTCATTAAACAAGTAATACATGGGCATCATGGGTGCACATGGAACCATCTAGGGAGAGAGCAAGGAGAGGGAACATGTGTGGAACTGAGCTCAGATGTTCTCCTGAACAGCTACTCTGCAGTTGCCTACGCAACACTGGTATTTCATGAATTCACTACTATTTTCATGTATCTAAGTTGCGCCTATCGGGACAATGCCAGTCTTTCAAGCTCAAAGTAGCACTCTGTCATTTGGGCCCTAGTGCAACACTCTGGGGCCACTACGTCTCAAAGAGTGTCTGCAAAGGGCTCTAGAGCCTTCAGACCCAGAATGCCATGCTCTGGAGCCTCACAGCCATGCACCTGCTGGTTTTAAGGTCCTCCTTACAGGCCCCTCTCCATTCAAAATAAGCCAAGACACTCTTGGTTCCTCCGATCCTTTACATATTTCAAGATATGTGAGAAATCTGTTTAGACTCACCAAAGATGCCAATGTATATGGATCCCAGGGCTGCCAACTGCCACATCCATATCCCCTGGGAATGGACATTCTATATACCCTGTCTATACAATGACCAGCAACTTTCCAGCCAGCAACTCCCTCTTGGTCACATGCTATTAATTTTAATGCCTCTCTCCATCCTTCCCCTCAATCCTAATAATGAAGGTAGGAATCCAAGTAAATGTCAAGGATCTTCTTACAAAATGTTTGAAGTTGCTTACAAACAAGGAAACTATTTCACTCTTATCCTCCCCAAGTCATTATTAATAGTACCTCCTCTATCCAAAAAAGTGATAAAATATATGATCACCACGTTTTAGAAAAGTCACCATCGTGGAGATTACTTGACAAACCATATTCTCCCCCATATTAGTTTAGGCAAAGGTTATGTTGCTATAACAAAGAGACCCCCAAAATACAGTGGTTTACAGAATACAGAGATTCCTTTGTTTCTCATTTAACTGTCCTGAGATGTACTGTCAAGGCTCCCCTCTCCATAGGGTCATCCAGGAACCAAAGTTCCTTCCCTATTGGTCTACCATCTCTTAGGGGGTTGACTTTTTGTACATATTTGAATCTGAGTTACAGTTTGGATTCCAACTCATAGCAAGGGGAAGAGGGAGTATGCAGGAGACATGCCCAAAGGTTGAAGGACCAAAGGCAGCACACATCACTTCTGCTCCCATTTCTCTTGGCAAGAACCTAGTTAAGTGGCTATGCCCAGGGTCTTAGCCTAAGTTCCTTTACAAGCAAAATCTGGGACAAAAGCTTTTGTGTTTTTTTTTAATTAAGGTGTGCAATTCCAGGAAGCAGAAATGAGGAAAAAATGGAACATTAAGGAAGGAAGGAATGGAAGCAAATATGAGTGTGTATTATTGAGTTGTCCACTCATGGCAGCAGGTGTGACCAATTATTCTTGTAGGACCACTTTTTGGGAAGCTATACAAACTGTTGGAGAGGAATTTATTCACTGTTTTCTATTTCCTATTGGTCAAAGTTTCAAAGGCACTAAACTCCCTTAAGTTTAAAGTCATGCATCTTTTCTTCCTTTCTTCCTTCCTTCCATCCATCCATCCTGCCAGCCATCCAACATAATTCCATAATTCCATAGTATATAGCTCTATGAGTTTGGACCAATGAATACAGTTGTGTAAACACAACCATAAAGACAAGGAATAATCCATCATCTCAAAAGGTTCTTTTTTTTTTTTCCAGGGGACAGAGCGAACACAATCCCCAACTACCACAAATTTTGCATTTGAGTTTCCCACATTTGGAGAAATCGCAGGGGTCAGTGCATCCAGGGTGCAATTGATAAACCTCGCCCTAGGAAAACTCCCTTTGTGATCATGGTATTTCCCCTGGCAGGTAAGTATCAAAAGGTTCATGTTTACTCATTTGTAGCAGCCATCCACTCCTGTCACTTCAGCCCCTCGCAGCCATTGGTCTCTGTTCTGTCCCTGTGTTTTGCCTTTGGAAGAATGTCACATAAGTGGAATTACACTGCATGTAGCCTTTTGATTCTGGTTTCCTTCACTTAACATAATGTATTTGATGTGCATCCATGTTATTTCCTGTTTCAACTTATTCTTTTTATTGTTGAGTACTATGTGTTCTGTAATACAAATGTAGCAGATTGATGGCCCATGCATCAGTTGAAAGACATCTGGCCTGCCTCCAGTTTTGTATCCTTAAGAAGAAAGATGCTATAAATATTCACATACATGTTTTTGTATGAACACAATTACATTTATCTTGCAAACTCTTCCAGAGTCTTTTGATTTACATATTAATGTCCCTACATTTCAGATGAAAAAGCTGGGTCTCAGGGAAGTAACTGACCCAGTGTCACACAGCTAGCTGAGTGGTGGAAACTGGATTTGAACCCCGGTATCCCAAGCTCATGGTCTTTGAGAAAAAGAAACATAAACAAATAATTACACTACACATAAAAAAACACATGTGTAATAAGTTACATAATAGAAAAATAAGTGCCAATGAAATACAATGGAATCTCAGAAAAATGTATCTCTTTTCCCAGTTAGATGGTCATGGAAGTCTCCAGGCTGGGCCTATAATTCTGTGTCTTAAAGCATGAGATGGTCTTCTCTAAGCAGATAAGCTGGTGGAAGGGTTAGAATGTTTGGTGTCACAGGGACAGGGATGGTCAGTTTTGGTGTCTGCTGCCTCTAAGCACCTAGAACAGTACCTTGCATACAGTAGGCATTCAGTAAATATTTCCTGAATGAATTTCAGACAAAATACCATGTATAAGGGCAGAGCACCTGGTTTGCACTGAGTCCCCCTGCCAGGTATATACAGCCTCTCCTTTAGGTGCAAGACACACATTCCAGCTGCTTCTTATAGGGGCTTTTGCAGAAATCTTGACATTATTTTTAAATTTTCAGATGCCCAGTAGCTACGCCCTGCCTCCTGAGCCCTGGAAGTCAAGAGTCCTATTTTTAACCATCCTCTTTTGACAAGCTAGGCTTGGGCCTCTGTGAGCTGCCCCAATGTGCAAACAGAGATGTGAAACTTTGGAGGCAGTCTTATCTTCCAGTGTGCTGCCAACTCTGTGGACATCATGGATTCTGTTCCTTGTTTCTAAGGCACAAGCTCAGGTTCTTCTCAAAGAAGGCCAAAGCCCAGGTGTGGCAGGTCCCAAGGGGGAGAAAATCAAAGACAAGCTATTGGTCTAGAACTCATGAAAGGGGGTTCAGGCAGCTTCACCAGGTGTCAGGAAGGCAGGTAGAGAGGCTGTTGGCCCTTTTCTTTCCTTAAGTACAGTTGACCCTTAACAACATGGGTTTGAACTATGTGGGTCCACGAGTATGAGACTTTTTTCAATAAATATATTGGGAAAACTTGTGCAGATGTGTGACAATTGGAAGAAATATTTTCTTTTCTCTTGCTTACCTTATTATAAGCATAAAGTATATATTACATATAATACACAAAATATGTATAGATCGACTATTTGTTATCAGTAAGTCTTCTAGTCCACAGTAGGCTGTGAGTAAAGTTTTGGGGAAGTAGAAAGCCACGCATGAATTTTTCAACAGTGCAGGAGTTCAGTGCCCCAATCCCCAAGTTGTTCAAGGGTCAACTGTACTACTTACTACTACTAAAATTTTGAAAACACTATAAATCAAAAGAAGAGTCTGAGATTATTCCCACTCCCACATTGGAAGAGGAGCGGTTAATGTATCAGCATAGATATGTTCATGTTTTCTAGGGTCATAAAAAGACACACACAGGATAGAGTAAAGATGGCAGTGTAAGAGGAGAGGCAGAGGCTTCCTCCTAAAACTGGATACGATTAGAAAATTTAATTGGCGTAACTAATCCTGAGAGAGCAACAGGAAAGAGGAGGGTGCCAGACTGCACACACCTGGAGAAAAGAGCAGACCTCAGCGAACAGGGTAACTACCGGAGCTGTGGCTCCGCGGGACCCGAGCCCCCTCCCCACCCCAGCTCACAGGCGGGAGGAAGACAAACAGAGCAGGGAGGGAGTGGAAGGCTTGGGACTGCTGAATACCTAGCTCCAGAGATCTGTGCTGGGAGCACAAACCTACATTTCATGGTGCTTTCATGAGACTCGCATGACTACCAGGTTGGAAAGTTAATACAGGCAGAGTTCCTGGGGAGACTGGGATTCTGGCTGCTTGTGGAAAGCAGGGATCCATATCTGGCTGCTCTGGGACAAAAACTTATACCTGTGTGCCTGGCCCACTGTCTCAGGCAGTGGAGACAGGCACAGCAGCCAGGCGGTGGGGAACAGCTCTTTCCTACCCCCAGTACCGCTCCCCTGTAACCCCTGACATTGCTTCAGGGGCTCAGCAGCTCCAGAATAGAGCTTCTGGACACTAGGGGGCGCCATATACAAACATGCAACGCCAAAGGAACCTTGTCCAGAGTAAAATTAATACAACTCCTGAGAAAGATTTAAATGATATGGACCTCGTGACTCTTCCTGAAAGGGAGTTCAAAATAAAAATCATCAACATCCTTATGGAGGTACGGAAAGACATCCAAGAACTCAGGAATGAATTCAGGTCGGAGATCCTATCGTTAAAGAACACGATGGAGGGTATTAAAAGCAGGTTGGATACGGTGGAGGAGACAATAAACGAAATAGAAACTAGAGAAGAGGAATTCAAAGAAGCTGAGGCACAGAGAGAAAAAGGGATCTCTAAAAATGAAAGAATATTGAAAAAACTGTGTGACCAATCCAAGCGGAACAATATTCGCATTATAGGAATACCAGAAGAAGAAGAGAGAGAGAAAGGGATAGAAAGTGTCTTTGAAGAGGTAATTGTTGAAAACTTCCCTAATCTGGGGAAGAATATAGTCTGTCAGGCCATGGAGATCCACAGATCCACAAGGGACCCAAGGAAGACAACACAAAGACACATAGTAATTAAAATGGGAAAGATCAAGGATAAGGACAGACTCTTAAAAGCAGCCAGAGGCAGAAATAAGATCACATACAAAGGAAAGCCCATCAGACTAACATCAGTCTTCTCAGCAGAAACCTTACAGGCCAGAAGGGAGTGCCATGATGTATTAAATGCCATGA